GGCAGGATATGAAATTCTGGGCTGAAAGTTCTGTTCTTTAAGTATATTGAATATTAGCCCCCACTCTCTTCTAGCTTGTAGGGTTTCTGCTGAGAGATCTGCTGTAAGCCTAATAGGCTTCCCTTTATGGGTAACCTGATCTTTCCCTCTGGCTGCCCTTAATATTTTCTCCTTCGTTTCGATCCTGGTGAATCTAACAATTTTGTGCCTTGGGGTTGGTCTTCTTGAGGAATATCTTTGTGGTGTTGTTCTCCGTATTGCCTGGGGTTGAATAGTGTCCTGCTTTGCTCAGTTGGGAAATGTTTCCTGGATAATGTCCTGAAAAGTATTTTCCAGCTTGAATTCATTCTCTCCGTCACATTCAGGTACACCGATCAAACATATATTAGGTCTTTTCACATAGTCCCATATTGCTTGGAGACTTTGCTCATTCCTTTTTATCCTTTTTTCTCTATTCTTGTCTTGTCGTTTTATTTCATTAAGTTGGTCTTCGACCTCTGATATCCTTTCTTCTGCTTGATCCATTCGGCTATTTAAGCTTGTACATATTTCACTAAGTTCTCGTGTTGTATTTTTCAACTCCGTAAGTTCATTTGTATTCCTCTCTATATTGTCTATTCTTTTCATCATTTCATCGAACCTTTTTTCAAAGTTCTTAGTTTCTTTACGTTGGGTTAGAACAAGTTCCTTTAACTCCCAGAAGTTTCTTATCATCCACCTTTTAAAGCCTACTTCAGATAATGGAACACAGTCCTTTTCCATCTGGGCTTGTTCCGTTGCTGATGAGTCCTTTTCCATCAGGGCTTGTTCCGTTGCTGATGGGTTCTGATTTTGGGTATACTCGGCCTTCTTAGGCTGTTTTTTTCCCTTCATTGTAGATGAACCGCCTTTCTAGTTAGGTTTCTGAGTCGACGTCCGATTTATTGATTTCCAGTGCTGGGATCCGAGCAACCCACTGTGGCGGCCTAAATAGCAGCGATAAGACTGATGGTGCTCTTCTGCCCGGGAATCTCTGGTCTGGCTTCCCTCTTGAGTCTGCAACAAGCGGCTCTGACTTCCCGGAGCTCCAAACTCCGGTCAGTAGGGGAAGCAGTCCCGTTTGCTCTGCATGAAGAGCTGCTGTGCCGAAGCGCCAGCAAAACTGCTGCGGCCACAAGAGTCGCACTGGCAACCCGTGGGGCTCCTCCACTGGGAATCAGCTGATCCGTGAGTGACGAAAATTCGTCTAAAAGTGTGGCGTCGTCTCGTTCTCTGAGCTTTCACTGGGAGCTACAATCCCGAGCTGTTAGTGATCGGTCTCGTGTCTGTGATTTTGAAAGAAATTCTACTCTGGTTAAGATGTCATGAAATAGTATCACATGCTAAAGAAAAATCTTTTGTGGGCTGGGCACGGTGGGTAACACCTGTAATATCAACACTCTGGGAGGCTGAGGCAGGCAGATCACCTGAGGTTGAAAGTTTGAGACCAGCCTGACCAACATGGAGAAACCCCATCTCTATTAAAAATACAAAATTAGCTGGGTGTGGTAGCACATGCCTGTTATCCCAGCTACTCAGAAGGCTGAGGCAGGAGAATTGGTTGAACCCAGGAGGCGGTGATTGCAGTGAGCTGGGAGATCACACCATTGCACTCCAGCCTAGGAAACAGCCTGGCAAAACTTGGAAAACCTTTTGTGAAAGGAAATAATAACTGATGTGGCAAATTTCACTGCTGCCTTATTTTAAGCAATTGCCATGGTAACCCCTGACCAGTAAGCAACCATCAACGTCAAGGCAAAACCTTCCACCAGCAAAAAGATCAGGAAAGGCTTAGATGATTGTTAGCATTTCTTGGCAATTAAGTATTTTCTATTTAAGGTATGTACATTGGTTTTTAGACAAAATGCTACTGTGCACTTAATAGACTACAGTATAGTGTAAGCATGGCTTTTATACACGCTAGGAAACCAAAAATTTGTGTGACTTGCTTTATTGAGATTCACTTTATTGGATTTCGGTGGTCTAGAACCAAATTTGCAATTATTAATGCCATTTCTTTTCATTCTTAGAAATATCTCACTTTGGAAGATACTGTATGATCATCCTGTAGATAAGATGATCATATATAATATGATATTACTATAATTCAGGCTGGGTGTGGTGGCTCACGCCCGTAATCTCAGCACTTTGGGAGGCCATGGCAGGTGGATCACCTAAGGTCAGGAGTTTGAGACCAGACTGGCCACCTGGTGAAACCCCAGCTCCACTAATAATACAAAAATTAGCTGGGTGTGGTGGCACACACCTGTATACCTAGCTATTCGGCAGGCTGAGGCAAGAGAATTGCTTGAACTTGGGAGGCAGAGGTTGCACCACTGCACTCCAGCCTGGACAAGAATGAAACTCCATCTAAAAAAAAAAATTATAATTCAAAATTATTACTTCAATACTTAAAAGGTAAAAAATAAATCTTCCTGGTGTACCATTTAATGTTCATGTAAAAGGTAATAAAACTTGTTTTAGGCATGTACTGACAATCACATGTGATGCCATCCCTAACAGTTCTTAAGATTTTTTAAATTTTTTATTTTTTGAAACAGAGTCTTGTTTTGTTGTCCAGGCTGGAGTGCAGTGGTATAATCCCAGCTCACTGCAACCTTTGTCTCCTGGGTTCAAGTGATTCTCCTGCCACAGCCTACCATGTTTTGAGATTCCAGGCACCCACAACCACGCTTGGCTAATTATTTTTTTGTATTTTTAGCATATGGGGTTTTACCATGTTGGCCAGGGTGGTCTTCAACTCCTAACTTCAGGTGATCTGCCAGCCTCAGCCTCCCAAAGTGCTGGAATTACAGGTGTGAGCCATAACGCCTGGCTGGATCTTAAAATTTTAAAAACAAAAAGTTGCCTATATATCAAATGAACAGATACTAATTCAAACAACTAACCCTAAATATTAACTTCATTAATACCAAAAAAAAAAGCAACTTTAGTAATGATACTTTAGAGCTTTTACTTTCTAAATATCCTGTCCCTCTTCCTCTATTAAATCATTCTTTAAGATAATAACTCCTGGCCAGGTGTAGTGGCTCATGCCTATAATCCCAGCACTTTGGGAGGCTGAGGAGTGAGGATCACTTGTAGCCAGGAGTTCCAGATTAGCTTGGGCAGTTAAGCAAGATCTTGCCTCTACAAAAAATTTAAAAATTAGGTGGTGCCTCATGCCTGTAAGTCCCAGCTATTCAGGAGGAGTGTTTGCACCTAGAAGTTGAAGGCTGCAGTGACCTATGATCACACTACTGCACTCCAGCCTGGGTGACAGAGTAAGAACCTGTCTCAATAAATAAATAAATAAATAAATAAAAATAAGTCATTTTATAATATCTTATGCCTCCTTGCCTAGTTTAAAATAAAATTAGTAGGTAATAATACAACTATGCACATTTTTTTTAGAGCTACTCCTGAGTAGCTAGGACTACAGCTGAGTCCCACCATACCCAGCTGTCTCACCCACGCCCGAGTGGAGTGCAGTGCAGTGATCACAGCTTACTGCATCCTCGAACTCCTGGACTCAAGGGATCCTGCTACCTTAGCCCTACTATGCCCAGCTGATTGTTCTCATATTTTGGAGAGGCAGGGTCTCAACATCTTGCCCAAGCTGGTAACTCCTGGGCTCAAGTAATCCTCTTGCCTCAGCCTCCCAAAGTGCTGAGATAACAAGTGTGAACCACTATGTCTAATTTAAAAAAAAAAAATTTTTTTTTTTTTTAAAGGGACAGGGTCTTGCTATGTTGCCCAGGCTGGTCTTGAACTTCTGGCCTCAAGTGATCCTCCTGCTTTGGCCTCCCCAAGTGCTGAAATGGGTCCACTTTTCTACAGATTTTTTTCAAACAGTCAGCCCTCTATATCAGCAGGTTCTGCAACCAAAACCAAACATGGATCACAAACACAATATTGAGGAGACACAAAACTTATATATATAGAGGTCCAACTTTTTGTACCCATAGGTTCCAGAAGGCTGAATGAGGAACTTGCATATGAGTGAATTTTGATATACAAGGAGGTGCTGGAACCAATTCCCTCAGATACAGAGGGAGGGCAATAATAAAACTATTCTCCAGTTTTAAGAATCTGCATTAATTCCGAAGCACTAAGTCAAAAGGGCAACCTGTCAAGCAGATGAACTCAATACAAATGTTTCCTCAGTCTTTTTCATTCACAAAATATAGCAGTGTCTATCACATAGTAGCCATGGCCTGGCAACATGCTGAAATGGATGCAACAGAACTGTAATTTCACATACGATACTACTTTGAAATGGTACTTTACTTGAATTATTTTAATTCTTTATTTTGGGCCGGGCACGGTGGCTCAAAACTGTAATCCCAGCACTTTGGGAGGCTGAGGCGGGTGGATCACGAGGTCAAGAGATCGAGACCATCCTAGTCAACATGGTGAAACCCCGTCCCTACTAAAAATACGAAAAAAATTAGCTGGGCATGGTGGCGCGTGCCTGTAATCCCAGCTACTCAGGAGGCTGAGGCAGGAGAATTGCCTGAACCCAGGAGGCGGAGGTTGCGGTGAGCCAAGATCACGCCATTGCACTCCAGCCTGGGTAACAAGAGAGAAACTCCGTCTCAAAAAAAAGAATTTTTTATGTTGATCAAAGTCATAATGTGTAACAGTTAACTGCCACTCAAAAATTCCTAAGAAAAAATGATAGTTTCCCTATTCTGTTCCCTTTTTCTTTTTTCAAGACAGGGTCTCACTCTGTTGCTCATGCTGGAATACAGTGGCATCATCTCAGCTCACCACAGCATCAACTTCCTAGGCTCAAGTAATCCTCCCACCTCAGCCTCCCAAGTAACTGGGACCATAGGTGTATACCACCATGTCTGGCTAAGTTTTTACATTTTTTTTCTAGAGATGGGGTTTTGCCTTTTTACCCAGGCTGGTAACTCCTGAGGTTCATGTGATCCTCCCGAGTCAGCCTCCCGAAGTGCTGGGATTACAGGCATAAAGCTGGGTAACAGGCAGATCCAAAGGATATCATGAAGTTTCCAGGGCCTTTGGAAAACCAGAGATTGTCTTTCCTGTTGGAAAAGGCAATCTCTAGGGAAGCACAGATGTGGAAGGTGAATGTGCAGAAAATACCTTCAAATCAGAATGTTTCTCCATCCCAGAGAGACGTAGTAATTCAATGGCTGGCCAAACTCAAATACCAATTCAACCTTTACCCAGAAACATTTGCTCTGGCTAGCAGTCTTTTGGACAGGTTTTTAGCTACTGTAAAGGCTCATCCAAAATACTTGAGTTGTATTGCCATCAGCTGTTTTTTCCTAGCTGCCAAGACTGTTGAGGAAGATGAGAGAATTCTAGTACTGAAAGTATTGGCAAGAGACAGTTTCTGTGGATGTTCCTCATCTGAAATTTTGAGAATGGAGAGAATTATTCTGGGTAAGTTGAATTGGGATCTTCACACAGCCACACCATTGGATTTTCTTCATATTTTCCATGCCATTGCAGTGTCAACTTTCAGTTTGCCTCAGTTACTTTTCAGTTTGCCCAAATTGAGCCCATCTCAACATCTGGCAGTCCTTACCAAGCAACTACTTCACTGTATGGCCTGCAACCAACTTCTGCAATTCAGAGGATCCATGCTTGCTCTGGCCATGGTTAGTCTGGAAATGGAGAAACTCATTCCTGATTGGCTTTTCTCTTACAACTGAACTACTTCAGAAAGCACAGATGGATAGCTCCCAGTTGATCCATTGTCGGGAGCTTGTGGCACATCACCTTTCTACTCTGTAGTCTTCCCTGCCTCTAAATTCCGTTTATGTCTACCGTCCCCTCAAGCACACCCTGGTAACCTGTGTCAAAGAAGTGTTCAGATTACATCCCTCCTCTGTCTCAGGCCCAGACTTCTCCAAGGACAACAGCAAGCCAGAAGTGCCAGTCAGAGGTACAGCAGCCTTTTACCATCATCTCCCAGCTGCCAATGGGTGCAAGCAGATCTCTACTAAATGCAAAGTAGAGGAAATGGAAGTGGATGGCTTTTACGATGGAATCAAACGGTTCTATAATGAAGATAATGTTTCAGAAAATGTGGGTTCTGTGTGTGGCACTGATATATCAAGACAGGAGGGACATGCTTCTCCTTGTCCACCTTTGCAGCCTGTTTCTGTCATGTGGTTTGAACAAGAGTTACCTTTGAGTGTAAACTAAGGTAGACTACTCTGGGAATGAGAACACGGAAAATGAGGAAAGGCTGTAGAAGGAAATATACCTTAACAGGCTGATTTGGAGTAAGCCAGAAAAAAAAACTCATTATTTGTGTGGCTAATTATAATTCAACATTATTTAAGCACATAAAGACCAAAAAAAAAAAAAAAAATTCCAAAAGATCCAAACATTTTTTTTAAACTTAAAGTCACTTTGTAGTATGACAGTTGCACTTTTTTTTCTGCCATAATGTAACGTAGCTTGCCCCGTCAAAAATTCAGTTAAAATTCATAGCCAGCAGACCTGTTCCCCTTCAGCATCCTGATTTAATTTTCCCATTGCTTTTACTTGCTTCTCCGTAAGTTAGTGAACTTTATGCATGCTGATCTGTATTCTGATTTTCACTGAATAGGAAACCCCAAAATTATTTTTTAGCAATTGAATGAACAAATTATTTTGGTGTGACAGCCATGATTCAAGTTCTAGTTAGTTTGAAAAGGGTACTTTGGAATTGTCCCATATTAATGAGAGAGCAACAGAAAAAGTTCCCATACTACCTTTTGTGTCTCATTTCAAATTTTAATTTAAAATTATGGTTTTCATTTTTATTTACCTTAAAGTGATGCTTAAAAGTTGCATGTAATTATGACACTTAGATTTGTTGAAAGCATTGTTGATATTTGTATAAAAGATTTGCGATAAAGTTAATATATCCTGGTGTTCACCAAAGAAACATGTATGTAACAACTGAAATTAGATTTTTGTAACTGATTAGTTTTCACTCATTTATCATCAGTAGGAGAGACTGTCTAGATGTTGGGGCAGCTCTATGATTTGAGTCTGTAATATGTCATAACTGAATTAAGTACCCTAGTATTATGTTAAGCTGTTAGAACTTACTCCCCCTACCTCCCCAGCCTACCTATATCTCTTAATGACTTCTGGATCCTGAGCTCCCTTTGCAGTCTGAAAAAGGTATTGCAGTCAGAAATGTGTACTGATGATAAAAGCCTCTGGTAGCAATAAAAAGTTGTCTTTAAAAAAAAAAAGAAAAACAGTTTCTGCTCTGTTTCTAAGCTCCTTCAGGGAATACTTTTTTAAAATGCTGACAATATTAATATGTCTAATTCTCTCCCTCTCCCCAAGGCAACCATCATTACTAGTTTCTTGTACATTCTTTTTGTTGTTGTCTTGTTTTTGACACAGGGTCTCACTTATGGCCCATGCTAGAATGCAGTAGCATGATCTATGCTCACTACTGCTTCCTGGGTTCAGGCGATTCTCCCACCTCAGCCCCTCAAGCAGCTGGGACTACAGGTGTGTGCCACCACAACCAGCTTTTTGTTTTTTGTAGGGACGGGGTTTCGTTGACCAGACTGGTCTCCAACTCCTGACCCAAGTGATCTGCCCACCTTGGCTTCCCAAAGTGCTGGGAATACAGGTGTGAGCCACCACACCCGGCCTCTTGTATATTTTTATAAGGATTCGAAACATTTAAAATCCATTTGTGTTCCTCTCGCCCTCATGTTTGCACACTACACATTATTGTACACCTTAGCTTTTCCATTTGATAGTCCCTCTGAGATAATTACATGTCCATGTATTTAATAACTGCCTCATTCTATATTTAACACTGTATGTACAGTATTCTACTATGTGGGTACCCTAATTATCTATTTAGCTTCCTTTGAGGAACACTTAAGTTGCTTCCAATCTTCTTATTTCCAACTATGCACCAAATGTACACTTAATCCTCAAGACAAATTTTTTTTTTTTGAGACGGAGTTTCGCTCTTGTTACCCAGGCTGGAGTGCAATGGCGCGATCTCAGCTCACCGCAACCTCCGCCTCCTGGGTTCAGGCAATTCTCCTGCCTCAGCCTCCTGAGTAGCTGGGATTACAGGCACACGCCACCATGCCCAGCTAATTTTTTCTAATTTTTTAATAGAGACGGGGTTTCACCATGCTGACCAGGATGGTCTCGATCTCTTGACCTCGTGATCCACCCGCCTCGGCCTCCCAAAGTGCTGGGATTACAGGCGTGAGCCACCGTACCCGGCCGAAGACAAATTATTAAACTGTCCTCCCTAGAGGTAATTTCAATTTATACTCCCACTAGCAATGCATAAACATTCCCATTTCTCAACATCTTTCTAAACCCAGTGTGTATCAAACTTTAAAACCTCTTCCAATCTAATAGGTAAAAAATATCTTAATATAGTTTTATTAGCATTTTTCCTTAAAAATGAAGCTGAACATCTGTATATCCTTTTTATTAATAGTGAGTTTATATCCTTTGTCCTTTTCCTAATGAGTTTTTCCTTACTGTTTTCTATGGTCTTCGAGTATGAGTTTAGATCAAGAGTTTGTAAGAACTCTTTATATACTAATTAGTTCATTTTCTAGTTGTCTCTCAGATGAAACTATATGTAAACAGCCTGTCTAGCAAGAAAACTCCATTTAATATTTTTCTCTTAATTAAATCACATAAAATAGTACCAACACTTCTAACCAATATGAGAAACACAAGTGAATATGACTATCTGATTTTAGCACAAATAAAATACACAAACAAGAGTTTTTTTTTTTAAGATGGGAGTCTCACTCTGTCGACAGGCTGGAGTACACTGGCTTGCTCTCAGCTCATTGCAATCTCCGCCTCCCAGGTTCAAGCAATTCTCCTGCCTCAGCCTCCCGAGTAGCCGGGACTACAGGTGTGCGCCACTATGCCCAGTTAATAATTTTTGTATTTTTAGTAGAGACGGGGTTTCACCATGTTGGCTAGGCTGGTCTTGAACTCCTGACCTCATGATCCAGCCACGTAGGCCTCCCAAAGAGCTGGGATTACAGGCATGAACCACCAAGCCCTGGCCTATCAACAGGAGACTTAATTGAAATGCAAATCTGAATTTGTATTTATTGTATACCTGACCATATGAAACGGTAACCCATTTTAAAAGTTACTAATTTTTTTTTTTTTTTGAGATAGAGTCTTGTTTTGTAGCCCAGGCTGGAGTGCAGTGGCGCCATCTCAGCTTACAGCAACTTCTACCTCCTGGGTTCAAGTGATTCTCTTGCCTCAGCCTCCCAACTAGCTGGGACTACAGGTTTGAACTCCTGACCTCCTGATCCGCCCACCTCTGCCTCCCAAAGTGCTGGGATTACAGATGTGAACCACTATGACCTGCCAAATGTTACTAATTTTAGAGCACTAAAGAGCAGTATATCAGATTAAAACACACTGCATTCACTCTCAGTATGGAGTACAGAAGAAATCTGTGACTCACAATCTTAAAATAGATTCCCAGAAACATGACTTTCTGCTTCTGGCAACATAGTGAGATGGAGCTTAAGCAGAATACCTCTTCTACTAAAAAGAATCTAAATGCTAAATAGAAATAGATAAAAATAGAAAAAACATACAGCATAGCTTCTAAGGAAGGAGGGCAGATACATCCAGGTGCTAGATAGGAAGAGGAAAGAAAGCTAGAGCAGAAAGTGAAAGTTTACAACACAACAGTGTGAAGGAGATTGAGGACCCTAGAAAAACTTGGTCATGGCTGAGAAGTAGCCAGAAATCTACTTTCTGGACTTTTTGTTGGGTGTGGAATTCAAGATAAAAAGTAGTAAGAAATCTATTTTCTGGGCTTTTTGGGGGCGTAGTCTCCCATGAAAAACAGAAACTCGAACCTACATTCTGTGCAGGTGCTAGTCAAATGTTTATTTCATACATGATGAAAACACAAGCTGAAAATGTTAAAAACGGGCTGGAGCACAGTGTGTCCAGCACAAATAATAAAACTACTGTGTAAAGAACAACACCATCACAATCTAAGGTACATACAAGTTCCATTAAAAAAGCAACATCCACGCTATTAAAAATAAAAGGCCAGCTGCGGTGGCTCACTTGAGGTCAAGAGCTTGAGACCAGCCTGGCCAACATGGCAAAACCCCGTCCCTACTAAAAATACAAAAATTAGCTGAGCATGTTGGTGGGAGCCTGTAATCCCAGCTACTCAGGAGGCTGAACCAAGAGGATCACTTGAACTCAGGAGGCAGAGGTTGAAGCAAACCGAGGTTGTAGTGAGCAGAGATTATGCCACTGCACTCCAGCCTGAGCGACAGAGCAAGACTCCAACTCAAACAAATAAAAATATTCAAGGGACAGATTCTCTATCATCAGGGGTCAGCATACACAGGATGATCAGTTCCCAAGAACCTAAAAATAATAATAATAATAATAAAGATGTTTTAAAAAGCCAGGAGAAATGAACAGTATACAATGAATTTTAAAAGGCAGCTTGGAGGTGGGAGAAGAGGAATGGCTTTTAGTATAAAGAAAAATGACAACAACTTTAAAATTGGAGACGAACAAAGAAAACTAGTAAAACAAAAGGCACATCTGAAGAAACTACTCAGAATACAGAATAAAGAATACGACGAAAAAAATGGAAAAGTTGTAAGATACAAATAGAAAGAGAAGGTTTAAGGTAATACCACCCAACAGATATTCCAGGAGAGAACGAGGATGAGACGTTATTCCAGGATAATGGCCAAGGCCCCAGTAATGGGATAAATATCTTCAGATTGGAAAAGCACACTAAATCCCAAGCAAGATAAAATCAAAATAAATTCATACCTACATCATGATAAAAATTGCAGAATGCCTAAGACAAGAAAATTCTTAAAAACAAGCAGAGAAATGATACGTTACCTATAAAGGAAGCAACAACAATATGACTGACAGTTGATTTTTCATCAGAAAACCAACAAATATCTTCAAAGGGCTGAGAAAAACAATGTCAAGTAGGATTCTGTAACCAATTAAAGTGCCACAAAAAACAGGTGCAAAAAAATAAAGACATTTCCAGAAAGTCAGAAGTTCCCACTCATAGATCATTACTAAACAAAACTTTATTTAGAGTGGGAAGGAAGAAGTAATGGAATAAAAGAAGTCATTAATTAGAATATTAACAGTACCTAAAGTAAGAGTCACTGCGAAGGACTGAGTTGGCTATTAAAGCAAAGCAGCATGAAGAGGACAAGTGTTTCCTACATCTCTTTTAGAGGATTACCTAAATTTTGAGGACAATTACATGATTTTCCCCCCTTAATCTACCAAGTGCCTGCCTTTTACGATCATACTTTCTAAAACCTGACAAGTAAACTATTGATTATTTGCTCCAGGAGAAAATGTTTCACTAGAATAATCAAGGAACCTAAACATTTCAATAGCCCATTATCCATCTTAAGGTAAGTGACAAGAAAACATGGGTCCCTTTGAGATATTCACTGGCATGACTTTAACCAGTATCTACGTGCTAGTAACTCATAAATTTGCTCCTTATCCAGTTGTACCTCAGTTTCTTCAATTGTAAAATAGTTAATGACAGTCAACACAGAGTTGTTGTGAAAATTAAATGAGTTAACATAAACTCTGCTTGGTATATAACCCTCAATTGTGTCATACGCCATGACATAAACCTTTCTCTTATACACCAAGCCAAGTGCCTCTGACATGTATTGACATCGGATAGACCACTGGAACTTTAAACTTTACTCATTTTTTAAAAATTACATTAACCTTCCTGATACAATCAACCATTGATTCTCCTCCCCTACTCAATTTTGTGTCTTAGGAAAAGTATTCAATAGCCCTAGGCAGAAACCTAGGTGTCACCCAACTGGTTTCTTTGGCCTTATTCCCCTTGCCTCCTATATTTAGTCACCAGAGTCCCTGGAAGTAGCTTTCTCCAGGAAGTCAAAACTGATTTGGAAACTTTTCTCAGACAAATGTAAACATAGAATACTTTGAGAACATGTATCTCCCCTCTATTAACTATAACCACTGAGGGAAAAAAATATTTTCTTGTATGGGTTTGATATGTAAGGACACTGAAAGATCCAATATATACTCTGAAAAAGTGTGAACCACAATCAGTGCACTAACAAATCCACCCCCTACCGTGGAGATGATGGTCATTCAACATATGAGCAGCATTCATCTTCTTTTTGTCATACCGCACTTACTAAGCAATTTCCTGATTATGACTTCA